CTTTCTTTTTTTCTGTTTTTCTGTCTTTCTTTCTTTCTTTCTTTCTGTCGTTCTTTCTTTCTGTCGTTCTTTCTTTTTCTTTTTCTGTCTTTCTGTCGTTCTTTCTTTCTGTCGTTCGTTCTTTCTTTCTTTCTGTCGTTCGTTCTTTTTCTTTGTCGTTCTGTCTTTCTGTCGTTCGTTCTTTCTGTTGTTCGTTCTTTATTTCTGTCGTTCTTTCTTTCTTTTTGTCGTTCTTTTTGTTGTTCTGTCTTTCTGTCTGTTCTGTCTTTCTTTCATTCTTACTTTCTGTCGTTCTTTGTCATTCTTTCTGTTGTTCTGTCTTTCTTTCTGTCGTTCTTTCTTTCTGTTGTTCTGTCGTTCTTTCTGTCATTCTTTCTTTTTCTTTCTTTCTTTCTGTCGTTCTTTCTGTCATTCTTTCTTTCTGTCTTTCTTTCTTTCTGTTCTGTCTTTCTGTCTGTTCTGTCTTTCTTTCATTCTTACTTTCTGTCGTTCTTTGTCATTCTTTCTGTTGTTCTGTCTTTCTTTCTGTCGTTCTTTCTTTCTGTTGTTCTGTCGTTCTTTCTGTCATTCTTTCTTTTTCTTTCTTTCTTTCTGTCGTTCTTTCTGTCATTCTTTCTTTCTGTCGTTCTGTCATTCTTTCTGTCGTTCTTTCTGTCGTTCTTTGTCATTCTTTCTGTCGTTCTTTCTGTCTTTCTTTCTTTCTGTTCTGTCTTTCTGTCTGTTCTGTCTTTCTTTCATTCTTACTTTCTGTCGTTCTTTGTCATTCTTTCTGTCGTTCTTTCTTTGTTGTTCTGTCTTTCTTTCTGTCGTTCTTTCTTTCTCTTGTTCTGTCGTTCTTTCTGTCATTCTTTCTTTTTCTTTCTTTCTTTCTGTCGTTCTTTCTGTCGTTCTTTGTCATTCTTTCTTTCTGTCGTTCTTTCTTTCTGTTGTTCTGTCTTTCTGTCGTTCTGTTTCTGTCATTCTTTCTTTCTTTCGTTCTTTCTGTCGTTCTGTCGTTCTTTCTTTCTGTCGTTCTGTCTTTCTGTTGTTCGTTCTTTTTCTTTCTTTCTTTCGTTCTGTCGTTCTTTCTTTATTTTTCTTTCTTTGTCGTTCTGTCGTTCTTTGTCTTTCTGTCCTTCTTTCTTTGTCGTTCTGTCTTTCTTTCTTTCTGTCGTTCTGTCTTTCTGTTCTTTTTCTTTCTTTCTGTCGTTCGTTCTTTCTTTTTGTCGTTCTGTCTTTCTGTCGTTCTGTCTTTCTGTCGTTCTGTCTTTCTGTCGTTCTTTCTTTCTGTCGTTCTTTCTTTCTTTCTGTCGTTCTTTCTTTCTGTCATTCTTTCTTTGTCGTTCTGTCTTTCTTTCTGTCTTTCTGTCTGTCGTTCTTTCTTTCTTTTTTCTGTCATTCTGTCTTTCTGTTGTTTCTTTCTTTCGTTCTGTTTGTCGTTCTTTCTTTCTTTCTTTCTTTCTGTCCTTCTTTCTGTCGTTCTTTCTGTCGTTCTTTCTTTCTTTTTCTTTTTCTGTCGTTCTGTCTTTGTCGTTCTTTTTGTCATTCTTTCTGTCTTTCTGTCGTTCTTTCTTTCTGTCGTTCTGTCTTTTTCTTTCTCTCATTCGTTCTTTCTTTCTTTCTGTCGTTCGTTCTTTTTCTTTGTCGTTCTTTCTTTCTGTCGTTCTGTCTTTCTGTCGTTCTGTCTTTGTCGTTCTTTTTGTCGTTCTTTCTGTCTTTCTGTCGTTCTTTCTGTCTTTCTGTCGTTCTTTCTTTCTTTCTGTCGTTCTGTCTTTTTCTTTCTGTCATTCGTTCTTTCTTTCTTTCTGTCGTTCGTTCTTTTTCTTTGTTGTTCTGTCTTTGTCGTTCGTTCTTTCTGTCGTTCGTTCTTTCTGTCGTTCGTTCTTTCTGTCGTTCGTTCTTTCTGTCGTTCGTTCTTTCTGTCGTTCTCTTTCTTTTTGTCGTTCTTTTTGTTGTTCTGTCTTTCTGTCTTTCTTTCATTCTTTTTCTTTCTTTCTTTCTTTTCTTTCTGTCGTTCTTTCTGTCATTCTTTCTTTCTGTCGTTCTTTCTTTCTGTCGTTCTGTCTTTCTGTCGTTCTTTCTGTCATTCTTTCTTTCTGTCGTTCTTTCTTTCGTTCTGTCGTTCTTTCTTTCTTTTTCTTTCTTTCTGTCGTTCTTTCTTTCTTTTTCTTTCTTTGTCGTTCTGTCGTTCTGTCTTTGTCCTTCTTTCTTTGTCGTTCTGTCGTTCTTTGTCTTTGTCCTTCTTTCTTTGTCGTTCTGTCTTTCTTTCTTTCTGTCGTTCTGTCTTTCTGTTCTTTTTCTTTCTTTCTGTCGTTCTTTCTTTCTGTCATTCTTTCATTGTCGTTCTGTCGTTCTTTCTGTCGTTCTTTCTTTCTGTCGTTCTGTCGTTCTTTCTTTCGTTCTGTCGTTCTTTCTTTCGTTCTGTCGTTCTTTCTTTCGTTCTGTCGTTCTTTCTTTTTTTCGTTCTGTCTTTCTTTCGTTCTGTCGTTCTTTCTTTCTTTTTCTTTCTTTTTTCTTTCGTTCTGTCGTTCTTTCTTTCGTTCTGTCGTTCTTTCTTTCGTTCTGTCGTTCTTTCTTTCGTTCTGTCTTTCTTTCTGTCTTTCTGTCGTTCTTTCTTTCGTTCTGTCGTTCTTTCTTTCGTTCTGTCGTTCTTTCTTTCGTTCTGTCGTTCTTTCTTTTTTTCGTTCTGTCGTTCTTTTTCTTTCTTTCTGTCGTTCTTTTTCTTTTTTTCTTTCTGTCGTTCTTTTTCTTTCTTTCTGTCGTTCTTTTTCTTTCTTTCTGTCGTTCTTTCTTTCTGACGTTCTTTCTGTCTTTCTTTCTTTCTTTCTTTCTGTCGTTCTTTCTGTCCTTTTTCTTTCTGTCATTCTGTCTTTCTGTCCTTGTTCTTTCTTTGTTCTTTCTTTCTGTCCTTTCTCTCCTTCTTTCTTTCTTTGTCTTTCTTTCTGTCTTTCTTTCTTTCTTTCTTTCTTTCTTTCTTTCTTTCTTTCTTTCTTTCTTTCTTTCTTTCTTTCTTTCTTTCTTTCTTTCTTTCTTTCTTTCTTTCTGTCCTTCTGTCCTTTGTCTTTCTGTCCTTTCTGTCTTTCTGTCGTTTTGTTTTTTCTGTCGTTCTGTCTTTCGTTCTTTCTGTCGTTCTGTCTTTAAGAGTTGTTTTAATTCTAATTCAGTAAAAAAAAGTGTATTTTGCCGCATATGTGTGTTTTGTATTGGAGTCATTAGATGGAAGCCAATAATTCTGTTGTGGGCATTTTGTTGGGTCAACACAACTTCCTTTTTAATTTTATATTGATGGTCTTTAATAACCAAGTGTCCTAATTTTTGTTGGCGATAACGCTGAAATAAACATCTCTGGGTATTAGTCCAACCCCTTTGGACAGTAATAATCTGATGTTGAACAGTTATTGTATATCTAGCAGTTTGCAATCGAGGGCGTATGACAAGACTAAACATGATTGCTCTGAAGTCTTTATAGTACAGTAGCCATCTAGAATCGTCTACGGCACTAATTGTGCAGAGGCTGATTAGCAATTGTTAGTGGTTCGTGGACGTGCTGTTGATAGGAGAAATGCTGATGGGGTGCTTTTCCTGTTAACCTAGTGGTGTGCTGTACATGGCATAATTAAATTGCCCCATGTCTCCTAACCCCACTGTAATATTAGCAGAGTTTATACAGTCATTCATCAAAAAATCCCTCATCAGAGATGCTGTACAGGACTAGCGGAACCTGCTAAGTTAGCACACAGCTGTTTGTGGTGAGAAGGAATCACAGTGAATACACACACCTGAAATTTTCTTTATCAGCATATAGCTGTATTAGCTTACTAGTAATAAGGTAAACTAAGTGATTTTTTTCTGTAGTTTTGTAGTTGTTATATGCTAATATTTGAAATTGCATGATCTACTTCTATGCATGGTTTCTAATAATAATTTCACATTAAATACTGATTTGAGTTGAAATTATTTTATGCGAGAAGAGAGTATGCATTTTTTTTGCATACACCAACTATTAAAAATGCATAATAATAATTATAATAACAATAATAACAATTATTATTGTTATTAATATTAATACTATTTTATTATTATTATTACTATTAGTAGTATTATATAATTAAAACATTTCATCATTTTATATTAATTTTTACATTATTTGAATGTGTAATAAATATAAATAAAATTAATTTATTCTTATTTTCCCCCAAATAAAATTATCTTCAAATTCAAATACATTTAATGTATTTGATAAATGGGAAAAAAATCTATTTCACCCTTTTTTTTTTTTTTGAAGACAAAAACAAGAAAAAAAATGACAAGGTAAATATTGATTATCATCTCTGATGATTTAGTTAGCCTTTCTTAATGGCATTTGACCAGTGCTGTAGACATGTTTCAAGTAACTTTATTCAAGATTATAAATAAATAAATAAACATTTTTTTTTTTTTAAATGTATGTATTTATTTGTTTTTGGTGCATCTGTACACTAAAACCTCATACTTTCCCACTGACTTTACCTCAGGAGAACTTGAGCTGACCTCTGACCAGTGAGACTATGATCCTTTCTTTGTGGAGTGATTTATGTGTCTTCCTTAATATCGATCGTGTTCTGGTATGATCAAAGGTGCACCTAAAAGCCAGCACTGAGAGAGACCATTATTGTGGATTTGGCTTTGCTCATACATTATTTATCTCCTTGAGCCTGTTCTATATGCCATTATGGACATTATGAAAGAAGGGAGCCACTGCCTTACCGTTTACTTAGTGTAAGCACAGGATGCACGCAGCAGAGATCGGATACAGGGTCATAAAAATGCCATAAAGAGGATATTGAGATGCTCTCCCGCCACAGAATGTGCAACATTCCCTATTGGAAATGCGCCCCTGATTTAGGGAACAGGAGATGGAGTAGTTCTTCATGGCATCCATGAGATATAGTGGAGGGTTTGGGGTGGAAAGTGTTCAGTGAGTTAGAGCTTTGGCTTTCAGTTTGTTAGCAGTGTGATAGTGATGTATGTAGCTGGTAAATATCTACTGCTTTCTCTTTTTCTGTTCCTCTTTCACTAGCGCAAAGCCCGTGTTGAAGCCATGACGCTGGATTTGGCTTCCTTGAGGAGCGTCCGAGAGTTTGCAGAGCTCTTCAAAGCCAGGAAACTGTAAGTAATACACAATACAACAGGACTGTGATACAAGGTTTCATTGTGCACCTTGATGAACGCTGGCTAGCTCATCGTGAAAAGCTTTCTGCTTGCTCCGTCCTGAGACCGACCCCCCTTCACCCGGTCCCCGGCTCCATTAACGAACTATCGCATCAGAGAAGGGGCCAAAAGGTCTCTCCTCTTTCATTGTGACCCCTCATCCTTCTCTGTGGTCAATAAATAAGTAGCCGAACCTTAGCTATAATTCCATCAATCGCAAAGCCACAAATTGGGAAGTCCTTCACAGTCTCCTAGTTAAATCAATTACTGCTCCCAGCTTTCGGGAAGTTGTAGTGCACATCATGCTGGGATAAAAGTTGAATTGACTTTTAAAAAACAGTGTAAACGTTTGGCAAAAAAAATGAATGAATGAATGACATACATAATTTTAAAATATATACTTGCATGTTGTGTGTATTTATATATCCATATTCGCAGTTATAATACATATACACAGTTCACACAAATATATTATGTAAACAAACTTTTATTTGGGATGCGATTAATTGCGATTAATCGTTTGACAGCACTAATTACATTACATTTAAATACGAGGGGGTCTATACTGTATGTCCATTCACCACCCCTTGGCCTGAAAATTAATTTTGAATTATGAATGGTTTGAAGTCTGGATTAATTAAAATTCTCTCAAAGAACATTTATTATGTAGTATTATCCATTATTTGTTGTCATCATGTTACATAAGGTTATTTAATATGATGCAGAGGTGAAGCATTTAACAGTTTCAGCGTGTCTTTGTATGCCTTGTATTATCATATCAATACAGTTTTTTTTTTTTTATCTGTAAACATTCATTAGTTTTTGATGGTGACCTGCAGTGATCAGTAATTAGGCTAATGAGGCATAATTATGATTTAATATAGAGACGTGTCTCTAGAATTTTCTCAGCTCTGTGAGAACTGTGTCAGTTCAGATGTAGCATCTTATACTGTCGTTTTCAGGGGGAAAAAAATATTTTTGTATTTTAATACAATTATTTGATTATGAGTTAAATATTATTGCTGTTTTGATGTTGCTCGTTTCGGGTATATCATTGTCAGACATGGCTCTATTCATAGCGAAATGTTTTGAATCAGGTTCCTTTTCTGCTCCATGCTTTCCTCGTTCATGGATCTTCCTCCTTCGTTTTACTGCGGCACGGCTTTGACCTTCACAGCTCCATCAGCTCACAATCCATATTTAGTGAGTTGCAGTATTAGAGGTGACGTCCTGGTTGTGTGGGGCACGGGGAGATGCCGCCGGTGTCCCCAAGCCCTCGAGGGGCTGCAGGACTCATCTGGCCCCTGGCTGGCCCCGGGGCAACGGCAGCAGCTTGGTCAGCAGCCAGACCCCTGGAGGTGACCCCCCACCCTGTCCCAGAGCCAAACCCCCCTCCACCCATCTTCAGTCAGTCTGACTTTCTTAAACGCTTATTTTCCCACACGCTGACAGGTATAAAATGTGTGACCGTGGCTTCTGATTACAGGATCTCTGAGCATTGTTTCCCAAAGTGACCCTGAGAAAGATGTGTGTTGGGATATTTTCCAAAACCTAGTTAGTTGCCTTGCCTACAGCCTACATAGGCATCTGCTTTCTAAGGCACTATCCTAACTGAAACGGAGCCTTAAAAGTGACCGATTGCACCTGAAGCACATAGGAAACTCAATTTCATTGATTCTGCTGGAGTTTGCTCTTAGCATGTTGCTAAGCTACCAACGCAATACTCACACAGGCATAAAAGGTCATTTTTTGTCATTTTGAGATTGCCCTCTCTGCAAAGAATGCAGTACTGCCTTAGAATTTTGGTCTGTGCACATTTGCGCCCATTAAAAATGTACATATAAATGTACCTTTTGAGGTTTTGTTTTTTTCTTTGCTTTTATTTAGACTTGTTTTGCTTTGCTTTTTTTTTTTATCCTGTTTTGTTTTGTCTCGTTTCGCTTGTTGTGTTTTTTATGCTATGCTTTGCTTTGCAAAGCTTTGCATTCTGTTCATTTTGCGTTGATTTTTGTTTTGTTTTGTTTTGCTTTTTTAAAAATTTGCTTTGCTTTTTTGTTTTGCTTTTATTTCTTTTTGTTTTGTTTTGCTTTGCTCTGCTTTGTTTGGTGGTGTATCAGAAGGTGTTTGAAATAGAGTCTAGGAGTGTATAGCGCTTAGCTTAGAATTTTTAAATGGATTATCTGGAGCAACACTTGGTCTGAATTTGTTCGTTACAGCCATGTGTGTGTACTTGGTATTCCCTACGTTATAGGGACCAAATGTCCTCGCAAGGATAATAATACCAGTAAATTTTGATTCCCAACGAGGAAACAAAATCATAAAATTATAAATCATACAGAATGAAGTTTTTTGTCTTTATCTAAAACAGCAGGAAGTTGTGTTAGGGGTAGGTTTATGGGTAGGGTTAGGGTAAGAAGATAGAAAATACAGTTTGTACAGTATAAAAACCATTACGCCTATAGAATGAACCCATAAAACATGGAAGTGTGTGCGCGCAAGTGTGCATGCATCTACGTTTTCCTTTTTTCCTACATTTTCCTTTTTCTGTCATGGCTTGTTGGTTAAAGTGACAGTTCAGGCTTGTGCAGATCTTTCTCATGTCTGTGCCTCAGCCTTACAAACACATCTGGGCTGGTCAGCTTATAATGGAAGATTAACCTATTAGTTTGAGACCCAAAGCATTTATTTGGCCCATTGACCTATAGTTAGTGTAGGGATTGTTTCAAACACTGGACTAGATGGTGAGAGTACTTTCTTCCTGATGCTTTGAACCAAACTGGACTTAAGGAAAATTTCCATGGACTTATATTTTTCTCTGTCTGTCCTTATGATAGTTACTAGTGTAGTAACTTTAAGTATAGTAAGTGTTTGGTACCTTTTGTTTCAGGATGCAAGTTTCCTGCTTCTCAAAAGTATTTAGTTGTTCTGTTTAGTTTATTTATTTTGTGTGTTGTTTTTCTGTGCTAGGCATTGCTTGTTTTTTTTTGTTCTGTTTTGTTTTTATTTGCATTCCATTTTTTCTGTTCTGTTTTCTTTAGTCTTGTTTTGCTTTCTGCTAGTCATATGACATTTAATGCTCAGTTGATTGGATATAACAAATCTAACATCTTGGTTTATTTGAATGCTACAGATTTTTCCAAGCAGGATTCGACCTTTAGAATGACCTCATCTGCTATCTAGTGCTCTTTCATACACACCTCATGCTCATGTAACCCAGACCACCGTGATCATACCGAAGTGAGTGAGTGAGTGAATGAATGAATGAATATCCTCTCTCTCCCTTGCCAAGGTTGTATTTCTTCATTAGCTGTTCCCAGGCTGTGTGTGTGTGAGCGTGAGTCCCAGAGGAGGTGGAGTAGATTAATTCTCATCAGAATGGAGAGGTGCTCAGGTGTGAATGGCAGCAGGCAGCTGGTGAGTCCACGCCACGCCTCCCTGTTTCTGTTTCTGTCGAGATGTCTGCAGGCACTGCTAGCATGCGCACACATTAACAGTTACTACCATTGGAGCTTAATTCAATCACAGTTGCTTTTGCCATTTTTCTGTCTTTTCTTTTGTAGCCGTTTGTAAACCCCCACCTTACCTTGCCCGCTCCCTCAATTATTTTCTTTCTCCTCTCACTCCTGTTCTCTTTGTTCTTCACCCTCAGTATGTTCAGGTAGGCACAGGAAACATTTCCATGTACTTATCTTTGCTTTGTTCTCATCAGGTTTTTGTAGTGTTTAATTAACTCAGTCACACGACATATGCTGTGAAGTGAAGTTGATCGCCTATGATGTTTAATTTCGCCAAGCGTTCGCTGTGTATTGATTGCTTGTGGACAAATTCCTGACTCAAGGTGTTCAAACCAAGAGCAATGCAATAAAGTGACAAAGATATGCAACAAAAAATGCCAGCAAATGTTCTCACCAAAACTAGTTTTTTTTCCTGTCTCTGAGAAAAGTTTGCATACTTATGTCAGTCAAGTTTGCTACGGTAAAACACATGCTTTATTGCAGTAAGCTAATAGTGCAGTACTCATGTAAGCATAAAAAACATCACACACACAAATAAACAATTACGAAGTCCATCCATCCATCCCAAAACAAAGAATGCAATCCTGGCTTAGAATTTGCTTTTACCCTCCTGTTTTGTTTTGTTTAGTTTTATTTTGTTTTGATTAGTTTTGTTTTGTTTATTTTTATTTTGTTTTGATTAGTTTTTTAGTTTTGTTTTGATTAGTTTTGCTTTGCTGTAATTAGTTTTGCTTTGCTGTGATTAGTTCCCTTTCGAACATTCACTTCCCGTCGTGTATGGGGAAAACTCCTGTTTTACTCTGTACTGAAGCCTGATTTGTTCAAGGTATTGCCGACGACTCCATGTCCTTGGCGGCGTCTGATACGGAAGAGTGGGGAAATTCTGGCGACGAGCCCGAAGTCCCTCCCCCCTCTCAAGCTCAGAGGCCGAAGCCGGACGTCAAACTCATCCGCTTCTTGTCGAAGGCGGTGGAGGATCTGGTCCTCGAGTGGTCGGCTCCGGAAGAGCCCGCCCACGGCCTGTTGGACGAGTGGTACCTGCCGGGAAGCTGTCAACAATCCTCTCACCAACGCCCCACCCCGTTCTTGCCTGCAGTTCATGACGAGCTCACCAAGATGTGGCGCGCCCCCTACTCGGCCCGGGTAAATCCCTCTACAGCAGCAGCTCTCACCTCCGTTGATGGCGCTGACGACAAGGGATACAGTAAGCCCTACAGGTCCACCTAAGCGCTTGCCAACAGAGCTTATGCAGCCGGTTCGGCGCTGCATACAATGGCGGTTCTCCAGGTGTTTCAAGCCAAGCTTCCATCATGGGCAGCCCAAAATTGTTTTAAAAACAATTTGACTAGGTTTCTCCCTCCAATTCGCTCGCAGGCCACCTCGCTTCAGAGGCATCATTCAAACTTCTGTTCCGGACAACGAAACACTCATTCTCCGACAGGA